ACTGACGAACTGAAACAAATGAGCGTGCTGTGTGTGCAACAGCGCGACAAACATTACCTGTCCTTTTATTAACTGCACAAGTAGTGCTGGTCATAGCTGCTGGCTACCTGTATAAGGCTGTCATGGGTCTGTAGCTCTGTCCACCGTTTTAGGGAACATATTTAGTTTTAAAGTAAGTTTCCGGGATTTTCCTGCCTTTCTGGAGGGATTATATTTCACTAAAAAACGATCTAATATGCATGTCCACATAATTATGCATTATTATAATTATAATATATTAAAAAACACACGCTGTATTTTAAAGAACATACATTATGAAGCAGATTATATTAGATTTATATTTTAAATAAGACAAAATTTGGATTTTACAGCAGTAAGATTATTGTATCACTACAGTTTAAAAATGTAATAAACTTTGCCCCTGCACAGAGTGGATAGTGAAACAAATGGAATCATCATAATGACATTATTTCATATTTATTACTTCCCCCTCCTGCTGCAAACTCACATCAAACTCTTACTTTTGACTTACAACTTGCTTTTATGACTTCCTTGCTCATCATGTAAAATGCAAAAATAAGAACAGAACATCATTAAGAAAAAGCACAACAGCAGATGAGGTGGATCAGCTGCTGGTCTTAAAAAAAGGTCTAAACTTTTGCTCCACCTACAGGCCTCCAACTTTGAAGTCCAGTGGTGGCATAACTAATTATAAATCCTGGAAACCAGTACATTCAAACTCTGAAGCATATCACAAAATATGTAATGCATTATTCTTTTTGATGCATGAAACAGACCTTAAGTCTTTTTCGCTTTCATTTTAGCTATGCACATTTCTGACTTTAGTCATGCGCGGTTTTTACATTAGCTTTGCTCAACACACAAACTGTCAAATGATTCATAAAGAAAAGGGGAAAAAAAGGGGAAAAGAGCACCATAAAGCAAAAGATGCAGCTTTTACCACAACATCATGACCACATCACAGCTTTTAGGCAAGAAAAAGGTTGACAACAAATGAACAAAATCTATACTGATACTTGCCGTTTTAAGCGCGCGTGTGCGCGTTCACTCATTTGTGTCAGGTTAAAAACAACTGTAAGACAATTTAAAAGAAAATGAAACACAATTTCTTTATTAAAGGGGGAGGGGTGGGGGTGTTACAAAGCAGTTTTTATGCTGACTGCTAACAGTGATCAAGGATTATGATAGTCACTTTCATTATTCACACAATGTGTTAGCAGAGATCTGGCCTACTGATCAGCCACACTTCTTGTGATGAGGCACTTGTTAGTCAACTCATCCTCGACTGTAATTCCTGCATCCAAATAGTTCAGATTGCTGCTCTGAGCCTGGTTCTGCTGCAGGTTTCTTCCTGTTAAAAGGGAGTTTTTCCTTCCCACTGCAGCCAAAGTGTTTGCTCATCGGGGTTAAATGATTGTTGTTTTTTTTCTTTGTATGTATTATTTCAGGGTCTATCTTGCCTTGAAGCGACTTTTTTTGTGATTTGGCGCTATATAAATAAATTTGAATTAAATCGAATTGAATTAAAATCCCTCACCAGGTGCTGGCTGAAATGTTTATAAGAACATGGACAGAAAAAAAAGCTGCATCTTTTGTATTTTTCATATAAACAAGTGTCAGGATACAATAGAGACAATTTAAAAACTTAAATCTCAAAGTATCCGGTGAAAGTAAGAGATATATATTCTGATGAAAACACTCGTTTTAAATCACACCCAGACCACATAACCGTATTAGAAAGATTCATGTTGTGGCTTCATTATTTATTAGTCCTTTTCATTAGTGCTGTCAGCATTAATCTCGGTAGAATAAAGTTGACGCCATAACTGCATTAACGCGGCAAATCTCCGTTAGCGAGTTAGCGTGTATCTCCCCGTCTGTCATGTTTCAGCTGTGTGGCAGGCAGGGATTGGACCCAAACGCAAACTCACTGGAGACAGGATTGAACTCAAAAGGGCAGCTTTTATTTCTGAACACAAAAACTCTACAAAAATCTAAACTGGGAAGACTAACAAACACTGACACTGACAAAGAGAAACACAGGGCTTAAATACACAGAGGGATAACGAGGGAATGAGACACAGAAGGAGAGCACAGCTGGGAGTAATCAGGCTGGACGAGACAAGGGAAGCAAAACAGGAAACACTCACATGAGACATGGACCTTCAAAGTAAAACAGGAAACACACTGACTGAATTCTAAACATGCAAACTTAACAGCAACTGGGGAGACAGAACATAGGAACCTGAAACATGGTACAAAAACGTCACAGTAGACATAACATGGAACACAGGGAAGCCATGTGACAAAGCCAAAGAACTAAACCTATGATAACCATAACAGACCTAGGGAAACAAGAAACAGTACAACAAAGGTCTCAAAACATAAACCATAATATAAAAACACAAGATCTCTTCAAAAAAAAAAAAATAGGAAACATAATGAGACACAGACATGACAACCAGAACTTGACAACGTAAGACACAGACATGAAACACATGAAGAGCAGGGGAGACTTAACATGGGTTGGAAACACAAGGGGGAACTAATAAGCAAATGAACATAGGAGACCTAATGAGCTTAAACATACTATAAACATCAAAATGAACTAAAACCCAGGATCGTGACACCGTCTGTGCGGCTGGACGGTGCAAACGCGTTAAAGAGCTAGTCGCACTATATCATTGATGCCGTACCTTTAATATTTAAGTGTATCACTCAAAACAAAGCAAAACCTGGACATCTGCATAAAATCCATAGAAATACATTCCAGAGTCAAACACATCCACGTGTTTGATTAGGCAGAAGATGGATGAGAAGCTGAAAGTCATTTCAGGTGATCCCCTTATTGAAATCCTTCGCACCATTCACTACTTTTACCAGGAGTAAACATGAGTCTGATCCAGCTGTACCAGTGAACCAGAATGTTATGGAACTGGATGTTGGAGCGCTGCAGCATGATTTTTTCTGGAACGACCTCCACAGTCTGAGACCCACTGAATCAAATTAAATGCTTTTTTAAACAAGAAAATGCCATACATTCAGAATTAATGAATTAATTAAATTAAGTCTTAATTAAAGCTAGGTTAAAATATAAAAAATATGTCAGCACATACACAGGCTGCAGAGACTGTCTTAAGAGACAAAGCTGTTATCAAGTTGAAGTTAATCACTGCACACACGACTGAAGCTTTGCAATGTCTGGAATTATGTGAGACCCAGGAAGGGGGGTCTTTCAATAAAAAGAGGAGGGTGTTTTTCTCAAACGACAACAAAAACGCTACCAGGAAAAGCCACCGATACTACACTTTTACCCACATGACATACAAATGATATTTTCTTCAGTTTCTCAAGGTTAAAAAAGCAGCGACATAAAAACATCTTGTTAAAAAAGATCCAGTTCATTTCCATGCTCAAAAGACTTGCTAAATAAACTCAGATAATGAAAAAAAAATAGTGTAAAATAGACAAGAAATGTGTGTAGAGGTGTGTATAGGTTGTCAAAACATGGTTTCCTGTGTCAAACGTTAATTATTTCTTTGAAACTTTATCATGATGACTGACTTCTTCCCGTGTTATACAGTAACTATGGCCACTAGAAGGTTCTGTTAATATGAATAGAAATTATGTAAGTTGTAATTAAAGAGCAAACTCTTTGGCTGAAAGCCCATAATTCATTAATAAACAATTAAACCAATTTCCCTTGGGATAAATAAAGTATTATCAATCAAATAATCAATTAATCAATATGGATACTGTTAAAGTTTAACTTACTGGCTGCTGCTAGTATTGGCAGCTCTCTACTCAGTCTACAGGATATTTACACCTCACGCTGCATTCATAAAGACACTAGCATCATGGCTAACCTGCATGACCCCTCCAACCAACTGTTTACTCCTCTTCCATCCGGAAGACTTGAAGGAAGACAGTTGCCGGAAACAGAGGGGGCTGGCAGCCCAGACGAGCCCACTCATCACCATTATCATCATCATTATCGTTTATTTATATAGTACTTTAAAAACACACCTGGTAGACCAAAGTGCTGTACAATACAAATATTTATAGTAATAAAATAGCAGAAACCAGACATAGCAATAACATTCATAAAAATGTCAGGTACCCACAGAGTAAGAATAAAAATAGGTTTTTAATCTAGACTTAAAAACTGGCACTAATGTAGCTTGTCTAATATGGAGAGGAAGGCTATTCCAAAGCATCGGAGCTGCTACAGAGAATGCTCGGTCTCCTCTAAGTTTCATCTGTGACATAGGGACAGAAAGCCACAGTTTCTCAGCTGACCAAAGCGTACGCATGGGGACATGGGGCTTCAACAAATCAGACAAATAAACAGGTGCCAGACCATTTAGAGATTTAAAAACCAATAAAAGGACTTTAAAACGAATCCTAAATTCAATTGGAAGCTGATGTAGAGAAGCTAAAACCAGAGTGATGTGGTCGAATTTCCTTCTGCCTCAAAAATATATCGGTTAAAGATCTGGAGCACATTCTACCAGATATTGTCCATATTTGTGGCGAATACAAAGGCATCACTACCTCAGATAGTACAAAATTTTAAGTCTTATTCTAATCAAAATAAACAGATACAAAAATGACATGAACAAGAGAAGTCTATTGAGAGTTTGAGCTTGTTTTAGAAAAGTGAATATGCTTGGCACAACAGTGCTCTTAGATCATGATTCTGATTGCAAAAGCTCCCAGGCAGGACTGTAGGGGTTAAGAAACTAGGCAAGGACATTATTCCATATTGATCAAGATGATACTTCAGATGAGTCATTAGGATCTTTTTTTTTAAAATACCTTCGTGAAGGCTAAAATTGGCCTTGAAAATTTCAGCTTGAAAAACACTCATATCATTGAGGCCTAGACTGAAGATTAGTTTTTGCAATTTTTGAAAAGTTACTTTTGGATTTTTTATAGTTTAGTTTAAAATTGTGCATGGACTGCCAAAATAAACACATCTATCCGCCCTTTTGAGGACATATGTAGGACAAAAGAACATTAATCATGTTCTTGATAATTGAAGGTTGTGGGTGGAGCTCATGTGGCAGATGGTGGGCCACAACCATCTCCCAGGCATCCACTAGATGGACATTCAGTTCTTTGAACATATCCCTGAGCACCTTGTCCTGCTGTAATGAGTACCAATCACTGTTAGTAGATGCATGAAGGAAGGTCTTCAAACTTTTGGGGTTTCCAGTCCGAATGACAATCAGTGTGTCTGGAGCCCTGGACAGCAGCCGGACCATCGCTCTGCGGATGGTCTGCAGCCGGCGGATAAAGAACTCAATAGGGAAAGTGCCAAAGTGTGCCCAGATACCAAGCACTATGACCGTGTCCCTGCCTCCAGGCACCTCGTCGAGCTCATTGGCAATATAATGCAGCTCAATGGCTGGGACACTGACGGATCGTAGAGGAGGACCGTGGGTGCGGTATGTCACCAAAATGTTGTTTTTGTAGTCCAGGGACATCAAAGGTCCAATTGTTTTCTGGCTATGCATGTTAAATGCCTTTAGATCTAAAAAGGATTACACAGGGAATAAGTTAAGCAGCAATAAATCAGTCGATGCCAGAAAGGTTTAGTAGATCTGCTACCTGGTAGTGCTGCATCAAGGTACTCAAACCACTGCCTCATGGTGGAATCTCCATACATATGAACGGTTTTTCCTTTTAGACACTGAGTGATGGCTGAGGAAGAGTTGAACTGATGAATTGGGGTCACACCTAGTCTTCTCCACACACCTTGAAAGTAATAGCCAGAGGGTCCAGACCCCACTCTGCTGCTAGGCACCTCTGACTCACCTGACCAATAAAACAAACAAACAATTGTATATTAGTGTATTTATTATACACACATGGTAAACATCAGATGATACAATGATACAATCACTACAGAGAGAACACATTTTTACACTGCTAAAGTTAAAGATATTTCTCTATTCAGATTTTATATCTGATGTGTGATTAAGACATTATAGGGAGCAGCCCACAGTGGTCCTAAACCTAACTAGATTTTAATGTGGTCTATTATCCATTGAAGAATTTCCAAGCACTTTTACCACTACTGCTGCTAAGTGTGGGTAACTTTCAGGAAGCTTTATCACTATGCTCTGCGATTTTTTTAATGTCCTGAATGTGTGCAGAATGAAAAGAAGTGGTTATGTCTTGAATTTATTTTAATTTTAATTTTGTGCGGAGGACCGAAGCTAGTAATGAGAGCTGGGATTCCAGCCGCAACTCAGGAGATTAACCTTCTGGTTTTGTGCATAACCTTGTGAGACAACTTAGGGAGAATGTTCAGGGGACAACCAGAACTGTGGTGCCTACCAGTGTGCCAACATGTGCTGGAACAGAGCTCATTGAAAAAGTAGAAGATTTTTGTCCACAGAGACACAACTTTAATGACCACAATCCCTATACTTGCCTAATTTTGACTTATGTCAAGTTACTTAAAACTTGAGTTGAACAACCACTGTTTGACTAAGCGAGGGAAATCCGGAAGTCACTTCAAAGACAAATCCAAGAGAACTGAATGAGACTTAAGGGGGCTATCTATGCCAAACAATATTACTGAAAGCAAGCTGAAGGTAATCTTACAAAATACAAAGGAAGATCAGCCTAATTCAAATCTGGGAAGGGGTTTAATTTTTACTGGCCTATTCCATATCTTGTATTTTCATAATAGACTTCATTATTTTAGGAGATAATAGAATAGTAAAATGAATAATAAACTGCTTGCAATTAGTGCAACATCCATAGTGTTTTAGTTAATTACTGTAAGTACTTCACTTAGTCCTTTCAGTTTTTTTTTTTTTTTTTTTTTTTTTTTTAGAGACTCCAATAGTAACGAATCATGCTTTACCGTTCTGTTTGGGCAAAACGTTGACTCTCGCCACTCCTGAAGGAGGAATAGCGACTTTCAGATTGACACCACTTAGGGAAAGAACACATATTGAAATATTTTAACAAAAATGGCAGAGAAATTTTATGTTTTCTAAACTAGAATTGAATCAAACACAGCAGTCAGCAAAAACACTTGGGTTTGACACATCAGCTGGTGACCCCCACCCCGCCCCCCCCTTCAGGCACATTAACATAAAAAGAAGATCATAATACAGTTTAAAAGTAAACTTTTTTCACTGTCACAACAAATCGTGAGTTACTCATTTATGCTTTTCCCAACTCTGCTCACTTCCTCTGGCTGTAGTTTGTTGCATTGCAAATGCATGTTGTCAATAGGGAAGTTGCAGTCTCTCTGGTGCCACATAAATACTCATAACATGGTTGACAGTTGCTTCTCCCGTCTCTTCTTCACTATTTAAAATTTCACCTATTAGCCATCAGAAATGCCAATACTGATGATAATATCAGATAGCTAAATAATTGATAGCTGCCTGCTAATACATCAGTAGAGCTGTAATAAAATTGTTTTACTTTGATTCTAATTGATTAATTTTAGTTCTGCCTCTTCATACATAAAACTCCAGAGCTTTACCACCTTTGGCATATAGGAAATGCTCACCTCTGAAAGAGCTTCTCCATGGTGCTAATTTTTTGTTTATATCCTCCCTTGAAGTTGCTGATCCTGGTATCACAGCTTAGACTTTTTGGCTTGTAGCAGAACCATGGCTCATTTGTATGGAGGTCAGTGTAGTTGCACACAGGCTGCTGGGTTGGACGTAGACATACATTGCAAGTGGTAGTTTCAGTGACTGAGCCTAACTGGAACTGGCTCTTGAAGAAAACCCTGTCAGGATGTTCTGTGTTCAGCCTTCTCAGCTCTGTGACTGCCTCACTGGGGTGAACCAGTATCACCTAGTAGGACAAATAATTAGAATTTTGTAACCTGCTCCGTTTGTTTTATAGACTGCACTTGTCACCAATAGAACAATCAAGTGCAATCAAGATTTATCATAGAGTGGCAAATGGTCTGCAGATGAAAAATGAAGCTAATGTGAAGTGCCACAAAGTGAATCTTGTGATGTGACCACTTGATGTTAGCTTCAAAAGCAAACAAGCAATAATAGTTAACGTAGTAAGTGTCACCTGAACCTGGGCGTTTCCTTCCCAAAGTAAAGTGAATATAGCAGAGTAGGAGCCATTAAGATGATCTAACACTTGCCCTGCCACACCAGCACCAAGGGTTATGTTATGCAGCCGGGCAAGTAAGACATCTCCCCCAGACCTCTTCAAGTGTCCCTGGAAATCGTGCATTTGAATCATAACCTCAAGTTTGTCTCCTATGTGCCACTGTCCCCCTCCCCACCTTGGGAGAATGGTGAAGGCACTGTGGGCTGGGTGACTCGTACTGCTCAGGGAAAGAGGTGATGGTAAAGATGGAGTTTCAGGCCAAGCGATGGAATCTAATAGGCGTTGTTCTTCAAGAGCTTCCTTGGTGGATAGTGGTTTTAACTTGCAGAAGTCATAATGCATGTCAGCAGGTGGAGTGACAGTGGCAGGTCTTGGAATGATGAAGGTAGTGTTCACTTTAATCTGAAACTGGATAAAGGAGAGAGTATGACATTGACAAAAGGACATTCAACCAGGTATACATCATACAGCTATTCATCTTTAGTTCCTAGCACAGTATAATGAAAGATTCTTTTTGAAATAGTGTGTCATGCTTTCATTGTATTACTTGTATTAATGCAAATGTATAATGTTGCCTGTCAGCTGGTAATTCAATAGAATAAATGTATCACTGAACATAAATAACTGATTGACTTGTCAATTCAATTCAATTCAATTTTATTTATATAGCGCCAAATCACAACAAAAGTCGCCTCAAGGCGCTTCATAGATACAGAGAAAAACCCAACAATCATATGACCCCCTATGAGCAAGCACTTTGGCGACAGTGGGAAGGAAAAACTCCCTTTTAACAGGAAGAAACCTCCGGCAGAACCAGGCTCAGGGAGGGGCGGCCATCTGCTGCGACCGGTTGGGCTGAGAGAAGGAAGACATGATAAAGACATGCTGTGGAAGAGAGACAGAGGTTAATAACAGATATGATTCAATGCAGAGAGGTCTATTAATACATAGTGAGTGAGAAAGGTGACTGGAAAGGAAAAACTCAATGCATCATGGGAATCCCCTGGCAGCCTACATCTATTGCAGCATAACTAAGGGAGGATTCAGGGTCACCTGGTCCAGCCCTAACTATATGCTTTAGCAAAAAGGAAAGTTTTAAGCCTAATCTTAAAAGTAGAGACAGTGTCTGTCTCCCGAATCCAAACTGGAAGCTGGTTCCACAGAAGAGGGGCCTGAAAACTGAAGGCTCTCCCTCCCATTCTACTTTTAAATACTCTAGGAACAACAAGTAGGCCTGCAGAGCGAGAGCGAAGTGCTCTAATAGGGTGATATGGTACTACAAGGTCATTAAGATAAGATGGGGCCTGATTATTTAAGACCTTGTATGTGAGGAGCAGGATTTTGAATTCAATTCTGGATTTAACAGGAAGCCAATGAAGGGAAGCCAAAACAGGAGAAATATGCTCTCTCTTTCTAGTCCCTGTCAGGACTCTTGCTGCAGCATTTTGGATTAGCTGAAGGCTTTTCAGCGAGTTTTTTGGACATCCTGATAATAATGAATTACAGTAGTCCAGCCTGGAAGTAATAAATGCATGAACTAGTTTTTCAGCGTCACTCTGAGACAGGATATTTCTAATTTTAGAGATGTTGCGCAAATGGAAGAAAGCAGTCTTACATATTTGTTTAATATGTGCGTTGAAGGACATGTCCTGGTCAAAAATGACTCCAAGGTTCCTCACAGCGTTACTGGAGGCCAAGGTAATGCCATCCAGGGTAAGAATCTGGTTAGATACCATATTTCTAAGATTTTCAGGGCTGAGTACAATAACCTCAGTTTTATCTGAATTAAGAAGCAGAAAGTTAGCAGCCATCCAGGTCTTTATGTCTTTAAGACATTCCTGCAGTTTAACTAATTGGTGTGTGTCATCTGGCTTCATGGACAGATAGAGCTGTGTGTCATCAGCATAGCAGTGAAAATGTATGCTATGTCTTCTAATGATACTGCCCAAGGGAAGCATGTATAATGTAAACAGAATTGGTCCTAGCACTGAACCCTGTGGAACTCCATAATTAACCTCAGTGTGTGAAGAGGACTCTCCATTTACATGCACAAATTGGAGTCTATTAGATAGATATGATACAAACCACTGCAGCGCAGTACCTGTAATACCTACAGCATGTTCTAATCGTTCTAATAGGATATTATGGTCAACAGTATCGAATGCTGCGCTAAGGTCTAGCAGGACAAGCACAGAGATGAGTCCACACTCAGAGGCCATAAGAAGATCATTTGTAACCTTCACTAAAGCTGTTTCTGTGCTGTGATGAGCTCTGAAACCTGACTGAAACTCTTCAAATAAACCAATCCTCTGCAGATGATCTGTTAGCTGTTTGACAACTACTCTTTCAAGGATTTTTGATATGAAAAGAAGGTTGGAGATTGGCCTATAATTAGCTAAGACTGCTGGGTCTAGAGATGGCTTTTTGAGTAAAGGTTTAACTACAGCCAGCTTGAAGGCCTGTGGTACATAGCCGATTATTAGAGATAGGTTGATCATATTTAAGATCGAAGAATTAATTAATGGCAGGACTTCTTTGAGCAGTTTTGTAGGAATGGGGTCTAAAAGACACGTTGAAGGTTTGGAGGAAGTAATTATTGAAGTTAACTCAGAAGGATCAATTGGAGAAAAAGAGTCTAACTTAACATCAATGGTACTAAGAGTAGCTGTAGATAATATTACATCTGTGGGATGATTATTGGTAATTTTTTCTCTAATGATAAAAATTTTATTTGTGAAGAAGTTCATGAAGTCATTACTAGTTAACGTTAAAGGGATGGTTGGCTCAAAAGAGCTCTGACATTTTGTCAGCCTGGCTACATTGCTGAAGAGAAACCTGGGGTTGTTCTTATTTTCTTCAATCAGTGATGAATAGTAAGATGTTCTGGCTTTGCGGAGGGCTTTCTTATAAAGCAGCAAACTATTTCTCCAGGCTAAATGATGATCCTCTAGATTTGTGACACGCCATTTCCTCTCCAGATTACGAGTCATCTGCTTTAGGGTACGTGTTTGAGAATTATACCACGGAGTCAGGTACTTCTGATTTGAGGCCTTAGTTTTCACAGGAGCTACAGTATCCAGAGTTGTACATAGTGAGGAGGTGAAATTATTAACAAGATAATCGACCTCTGTTGGGGTAGCGTTCAGATAGCTGCTCTGCTCTGTGTTGGTACAGGGCATTGGAGATGATAACAGTGGGTGGATTATATTCTTTTTTTTTTTGACACTTTTTATTTGTTCAGGAACATTTTTATGCCACAAGATAAAAGAAAAAAAGAAAGAACAGAAACAGTATGAGGTCATGGGAAGATAACATACACCTGTACATACATCTGCACATCCACACATACATACGTCAACAAGTCTGCATTACTAATTCTATGCATTAAAGGGTGCTGCCACAAGCTGTAAAGTCCAGCCATTTTCTCCACCGTCTCCTTCCCAAATCTCCCTGCAGTCGCAGAATGAAAGTCATACATTCCATCAATTTGACGTCTTCCACTAGAGGTAAAAAGTGCTACAGTGGGAGGATCTCTACAGAGCCAGCGTTTTGTTATGGCCTTCTTCGCAGAAGCCAAGAGAACTTTCAGAAGGTAAACATCATCTGCAACTAAATCGTCTGTAAAATATCCCAGATACAATGAGGTAAATGTACAAGACACGTGGAATCCCAACACCTCTGTAATTATCTTTGTAACTGCCATCCAGAAGGGTCGTATGAGTGGACAGGACCAGAATATATGACCGTAATCAGCCATGACTTCCCCACAATTCCTCCAGCAAAACGCAGGTGTAGCACTGAATTTAGACTTCTGTTTAGGCGTTATGAAATAGCGTATAATGTTCTTCCAGCAGAAGTCCCGCCACATGTTGGAGTTAGTCGTGGTAAACTGTGTCTTCCAGATCCGTGCCCACCCATCTTCTGTAATCACAATGTCCATTTCTTTTTCCCATTTCTGCTTTATGTAAAGCGTTGAGTGCCCTTTGAGCTTAGTCAGACATGTATACAATTTACTTATCAAGGCTTTGTTACTCCCAGAGTCATAAGCACCAATGAAAATATTAACAATCGAGAAGTCTCCACGGACACAGCTCTTCAGTCTTTTGCCAATATAGTCACGGAGTTGCAAGTATCGAAAAAAGTCTTGTTTCTCGAGACCGTAAGTCTTGCATAGGGTATCAAAAGCCATAATTTTAGACTTTACAATAACCGAACACCCAGCAGTGATTCCATGCCACACCCATTGTTTAAATCTACTATCGTGGGAAGCAGGTAAAAAATCAGGGTCATACGCTGGCCACCTCAAAAGTTTTATCTCTTCCTGGAGTTGCGCCTGCTTGACCACTCCCCTCCATATTTTTAATGTAAAAGTGACCCAGTGGCTGGGCGTCAAGGTATCGTCCAAATCAGAAGCTGCGTGACCAAGTCTAGACTGGATTGGCGTGTCCGAGAGAGACACCTCAATCGTCTTCCACCTCGCACAAAAAGATGGATTACACCAACACACCAAGGACCTCAGTTGAGCAGATAAGTAGTAATTCCTTAATGAAGGTAGAGCCAAGCCCCCTTTGTCTTTCGGCAACTGCAAAGTAGAGAACTTCATCCTTGGTCTTTTGTTAAGCCAAATGAATCTCGAAATCTGCTTATTCCATTCCCTGAATTGCTTCTCTGGAATTTGAATAGGTAAAGCAAGAAAAAGATAGAGTAGTTTGGGAAGAATATTCATTTTAATTATCTGTATCCTGTTGCCAAGGTCGAGAGGGAGCAAGGCCCAAATGTTGAGATCACTATATATTTCTCTATTAATACGACTGTAATTAATATCATACAGTTGTGTCAGATCTCTAGATAGAAACACTCCCAAATATTTGATAGCAGTTGCCTCCCAATTAAACTTGAATTTTGACAATAGTGACTGGTCTGGAGAAAAATTAAATGACAGAACTTGAGTTTTTTTGACATTAAGGACATACCCTGAGTACAGGCCATATGTTTCCAACATCCCCATTAACACTGGTACACCTGAGCTGGGATCCATGATTGTCACCAAGACATCATCTGCGTATAAACACACCTTGTACTCGTCCCCTCCTATTACAATCCCTTTCAACGATGTTTCCTGACGTATAGCCTGGGCTAGAGGTTCGATAAACAAGTTGAAGAGGTAGGGGCTTGCTGGACACCCCTGTCTACATCCTCGTTCTAAAAAAATAGTATCGGAGAGGCTACCGTTAATTTTTATTCTGGCAGTAGGGAGAGAATAAAGAGCTTGGAAACATTTTATAAACTCGCTACGGAAACCAAATCTTTTCATCACTAGGAAGAGGAAGTCCCAATTCACTGAATCATATGCTTTTTCAGCATCTAAGCTGAGAATAATTAAGCTTTTTTTCTTATTATTAATGTGTTCGATGATGTGTAAAGCTCGTCTAATATTATCGTGGGTTTGTCTATTTTTCAAGAAACCCGTTTGGTCTTCATCAATCAAAGAAGGCATTACAGCATCCATTCTTCGCACCAAAATAGTTGTGTATAGTTTATAATCTGAGTTCAGGACACTTATCGGCCTATAAGATTTGCAGTTTAGTCTATCCTGTCCCCCCTTTGGCAAAACAGATATGAAGGCCTCCTTCCAAGAGGGAGGTACCAGACCTCCTTTCAAAATGTAGTTAAAACTAGTTTCCAACAGGGGAAGAAGGCTTTCCTTCATGGTTTTGTACCATTCGGCAGGGAGCCCATCGGTACCTGGCGATTTATTGGATTTAAGGCTGGAAATAGCTTTAATTATTTCTTCCCGAGATATTAAGGACGTTAACTTACTATTTGCTTCTCGACCAATCGTAGGCAGGTCTAAAGAATTCAAAAAGTCAGTCATCTTATTGACATCACCCTGAGTAGATTGACTATATAAGGATTTGTAATACATTTCAAACGCTTTTTGAATTTTATCCAGGTCAGTTACAACATTGTTACCAACCGGGTCTCTAATCTTATAAATATTATTTTCAGCTTGCTGTTTTCTAATCCGCCACGCCAACTGCTTCGCCGCCTTAGGCCCCGCCTCATAATACCTCTGTTTCATAAACCTTATGTTTTTCTCCACTTCTTCGCTCAATATCTTATCTATCTCCTGCTTAATCTGTCTGATCTGGTGGGTTACTGTAGTATTTTTATCCTTTAGACCTGACTGTTCCAAGGCCACTAATCTATCCTGCAGTTGTAACAATTCTTGGGACTTTTTCTTTTTAATCATGGTCGACCACGCAATTATTTTTCCTCTGAGGACTGCTTTGGCTGCATCCCATACAATACTGTGATTTGTCTCTCCATTATCATTGTCCTGCAGGTACAAGTTAAGATCGGCTGTCATTTGTTTCAAAAAAGCGGGGTCATTTAACATACCGGTATTTAGTCTCCACAAAGTTGTCTTCCGTGTCCCATCCAAATGTAACGTTATATAAATTCCACTGTGGTCAGAGACATCTCTTGGACCTATTCTGCAATCTTTTATCCTGTGTAAATCCCTATTAAACATAAAACAGTAATCTATCCTCGAATACACTGAGTGTCGAGCAGAGTAAAAAGTGAATCCTGACGCTGACCCATGGATAGATCGCCACACATCAATAAGTCCTAATTCCGTTAACATTCCTTTAACTTGTTTCCCTCCAGACGTGCTTTTCCTGTCCCTATTATTTGAGTCTAACCGGGGGTTTAACAGTAAATTAAAATCTCCTGCACAAATAAGAGTTCCCACCGTTTCCTTAGAGATCAAATCAAATATCTTCTTAAAGAAGCTTGCGTTGCTGTCTGGGGGTGCATAGACATTTAATAGTGTGACCGCCTTATTCTCTATTCTACCTTTTACTAAAACAAACCGACCTTCCTTATCACAATTAGTAGATATATGTTCAAATTTTATTTTATTTGAGATAAGGATAGCTACTCCTCGTTTTTTCCCGGCCCTATACGATGAATAGAATGTATGTCTGAAACCCATCTTTTTTAATTTCTCGTGTTCTGCATTATCTAGATGAGTTTCTTGCCAATATGCCAAATCTACTGCCTCCTTTTTCAATTTGGCAATTAATTTGCTTCTTTTAATAGGGCTATTCAGGCCATTTACATTTAGTGACAGCATTTTATAGAACTTATAAGCCATCAAGTGGATATGTGGAATACAACATAATCAACCCAGACCTCAGAACATCACAACCAGAACTCATTGAACAGCAAACACACAAAACATTAATAGGAGCTTCCAATACAAAGGATATAATAGTATCCTTTGACATTGAGGGGACTGGCCACAGGGTGGGGCCCCTCATCTGACAACAGGGGAGTGACCGACAAAAAAGCCAAAAAAAGGGCAAAAAATAAGCAAAACAGTCTCTTATCGCTACTAAAAATAACGTGGTGGTTCTCTAACCATGTCCGTAGGCACCAACCTAAAGAAATATGAATTCTGAAGGATACGAAAGTCAGTGTTCCTGCGGTTAGATTATCAAAACTCTACCGCCAGCTATCTCACCGTCGTCCAGTCATCAGCTGCTCACTCGTCTGCTGGCAGTTTTTCTTGCTCCCTCCGGAAAGCTTGGAGTTTTTCCCGCACATGCTGCTGGAAGCCGCCCCCGCAGTGTGCTGTCTGCGTTTCCCAAGGAAGTAGCTGCTTTATTGTGTCCTCTGTCATCCTGTTGGTTTGGTTCCCCAAGGTGATCTTACCCACGGCTATTCCCCGCTTTCTTAAATCTTCGGCAGCTTGGCTCGCGGTATTATATAGGACATTGCCTGACGCATAAAACACTCGCATCTTACTTAGCGGTGTCTGGAAGCGGATCCCGCTGTCCTTCAAAGCCTTCTTAACTGGAATATATTCCCGTCTCCTTTTCTGCACTTCCAGGGAGTAGTCATGATCGAAGTACACCCGTTTGTTTTGGATGTGTACCCCTTTGTTCCACGCCGTGCGGAGAATCTCTTCTTTAACAGAGATCCGGAGGAAGCGCACTATTATTGAGCGTGGTGGGGCGTTCGGGGGTGGTTTTGGTCCCAACGCGCGGTGTGTGCGCTCAATGCCGAGGGCACGGTCCGGGCCGAAATCTTCGCCTAGGTGTTCTTTGATCAGATTTTCAACAAAGGTAGTCACCGACGAGCCCTCCGAGTTTTCCGGTACGCCGTAGATCCGGATGTTTTTGCGCCTAGCGCGGCCTTCCATATCGGACACCTTTTCCTGAAGCGCCCGTTGATTTTCCAAGAGCTGCACAAGTGTATCCCTAACACCAACGTCCCAGCGTTCCGAGTCAGCCATGTTGTCCTCGACGTGCTTTAGCCGACCAGTCATCTCCTCCACCTGACCCGCCATCTCGTGCAATCTTTGATTCAATTCCTTAGAGAGTTCGGCCATTTGCTTCTTTATATCCTCCCCAAATTCCGTACCGAATGCTTTGAAGTCACTTTTCAATTCGGTTCGCAATGTAGCCATTTCGGCCACCAGTACGCTACTCACTGCATCCCGAAGCCAACCCAGACCTTCACCTCGGTCGCCATCTTGTCCCGATGCGGGGCTTGCCTCACTAGCCGCGGCGTCCTTCTCCATTTCACAGTCAAGAATGTTTCGTAGCCCGTATCCTCCCTTTTTAGATTTATCCCCACTCATTCCTGCGTCGAAAAATGGCAATGTAGCCCTAATACAGCTCTCGAGTCCGGGGAAACACACGGTTGGTGCCAGAGGTCACTCTCTATGCGGCCATGCGGTGCTACGAGCCACCGGAAGTTCCGGTGGATTATATTCTTAAACTTAGTTACAGCACTTTCAGAAAGACATCTACTTTGATAAAGTCTACTCTTCACCGCTGTGTAATCAATTATTGTAAATGTAAATGTTATCAGGAAATGATCAGACAGGAGGGGGTTTTCAGGAAACACTGTTAAATGTTCAGGTTCGATGCCATATGTTAAAACAAGATCTAGAGTGTGATTAACGTGGTGGGTGGGTTCTTTTACATTTTGAGAGAAGCCAATTGAGTCTAATAACAGATTAAATGCCATGTTGAGGCTGTCATTCTTAGCATCTACATGGATGTTAAAATCACCCACAATAATTATTTTATCTGAGCTGAGAACTAAATTAGATATAAAGTCTGAGAAATCAGACAGAAACTCTGTGTAAGGCCCAGGTGGACGATAGATGATAACAAGTAAGACTGGTTTCTGAGTTTTACAGCTGGGGTGGACGAGGCTAAGCATCAGGCTTTCAAATGAATTAAAAGTCTGTCTTGGTCTTTCATTAATTAATAGGCTGGTGTGAAAAATTGCTGCCACACCGCCCCCTCGGCCTGTGCTTCGAGATTTCTGGTAGTTAGAATGACTCGGGGGTGTTGATTCATTTAAACTAACATAATCATCCTGCTGCAACCAGGTTTCTGTAAGGCAGAGTAAATCGATTTGTTGATCAATTATTAAGTCATGTACTAACAGAGACTTGGAGGAGAGAGACCTAATATTTAATAATCCACATTTCACAGTTTTACTCTTTGGTTCAGATGTGGATACTGTATTGTTCTTTCTTTGTGATTGTTTATGTTCAAGTTGTTTGTTGCTGGTTTTTAATTTGTTTTTTGTCTGTTTGGGAGCTGACACAGTCTCTATGGAGATGGGTTTTTGGGGGGGTAGCAGGAGGAGAGAAGCTGCAGAGAGGCGTGTAAGACTGCAACTCTGCTTCCTGGTCCCAACTCTGGATAGTCATATTTTGGGGGGTTTAACACTTGGAGTTCCAGGCTTCTACCGTTCTACCTATAACACCCGAGAGCAGTCAAATGATGGAAGTGGAAGCTAAATTGGCTAGTCATTCATAGGTATATTAGGTCGTTACCTAGGAATTCTGGAGGGAGGGGAGTGGGGGTGTGTGATTGAGGGGGTGGGGGAGTGGAGTGTTTCAGTTTGCCATCTTAGGGAGAAATCAACACACATGGGTGTATGTCCTTTGTTGCTGACATTTATTGATGAAAACAGTACAAAAAACTAACCATTTGTACACATATT